ACACCTCCACTTCCACGGCTGTGGCGTGGTAAACTATCACGCTTATGTCGACGGCCGCGCGGTCATCGACAGGTCTGCTTCGGCGACTAGCTGAGCGTCCACTCGGTCGCCTGGCTCCACGCTTGCTGCCTCGGCTTTTCCACATCCACACTTCCGCGGCCCCACGCTGACCCAGCTGCACGCTTTCCACTGGCGCCCTTCCACGTCCGCAGATCAGAAATTTGTTGCGTTTTTTGTCATGGCAAGTGGCAATCTATCACGCTTTTGTCGATGGCCGCGCGGCTATCGACAGGTCTGCTTCGGCGACTGGCTACACACCCACCCCCCACGCCCCCAGAACGGACGCGGTTCCGTTCTGCATCATTTTCCACACTTCCCCACTTCACGCTTCTACTGGTCAGGGTTAGCGGGCTTACGCAGGAAGCTCCGGAGAAGGCCCGCAAAGAAAAAGCGCCGAACAAGTCCAAGCGAGCTGAGGAGCTTGCCGAGGACCGACCAACCCGGTGCTCACGCGTCCAGACTCCCACGCCTCCACTTTCACACTTTCACACGCCTTGGCTTTCACTTGTCCAGACTCCTACCAGACCTCCAGAAAGCCCGGAAGGAGAATGCTACGAAGAAGGCAAAGCAAGCCGAGAAGCCAGCTGCGAAGCCAGCTGAGGACTGACTACCAGCTTGGGGCGGAACATCTGCAAGCTCCATATCATTGTTTGGCATGCGCTTCAAGTGGTACCAGCATGGACTCCCTGCTGGTCAGGATTTGCTGTCTGGTAGGGCAGCGCGGGCTAAAATCGGACGGAGGGTGGAGTCTTCAGCGGGGTCACGCAGGAAGCTCTGGCGAAGGCGCGCAAAGAGAAAGTTCCGAAGATGAAGCGAGCTGAGGAGCTTGCCGAGGACCGAGTTCACGCGTCCAGACTCCCACACCTCCACCTCCACACCCACTTTTCCAAACTCCTACCGGACATCCAGACTCCCACGCTTCCGCTTCCACAGGAGAAAGCCCGGAAGGAGAATGCGACAAAGAAGTCAAAGCAAGCCGAGAAGCCGGCTGAGGACTGACCAACAGCTCGGGGCGGAACATCCGCAAGCTCCATACCTAGACCCTCCAGGTGTGCATTTTTCTGCCGCTTGCTGAAAAAGCAATATGTTGTGTCGTTTGTTCCAAAAAGAACCTGTTCCTTTTAAAGGTGCTGCTTCAAAATCTTGCCAGAACGTGGTCGGCAAATGTCGCTTTTTGGTCGGGGAATGTCGCCTTTGGGTCGGGCAAAGTCGCCTTTTCGTCTTCATCCTGGTTTCGCAAAACAGCACAATTCGCAAAACTGCACTGAGGCAAAAAAATGTGTCGTTTGCACCAAAAGGAGCCTTTGGCCCAAACAGCATAAAAAATTGACACTTAGGAGGGCCCAGGTATGAGAGTCGTCCGAAAGGTCCTTGTATTGCAATATGAAGGGGAAGACCTTGTTGTCTTAGTGTTGACCTCCGCGAAAGTTCCGCGAAAGGGTCCGCGAAAGTTATTTTTTTTTCGCGAAAGTTTTGCGTAGCGGTCACTGTTTAAGTCAATGACGCAGTTCGATACCCTGCTTGGCGGAAGACTGCGGGAAAACTACTGGAAGACTACGGGAAGACTACCAGAAGACTACCCGAAGACTACCGGAAGACTGCTGGAAGACTACGGGAGGACTACCGGAAGATTACCGCAGGATTACCGGAAGACTGCAGGAAGCTTCCCGGAAGACTCCGGGAAGACTACGGGAAGACTACCGGAAGACTACTGGGAGACTACCGGAAGACTACGATCTGGATGACTACCAGAACACTACCGGAAAACTGCCGGGAGGCTACCAGAAGATTACCGGAAGACTACCGGAAGACTACCGGAAGACTACTGACTACCAAAAGACTACGGAAGAAGACTACCATGTGTGCGTGTGCTCTTTGTCAAGAGATCTGCGCTCTGAAGCGTGGGTGTTTCTTCGCAAAAGTCTAGCCCGTCCCCTTTTTGCCTTTCCTGCCATTTCTCGGCCCTTCCTGTTGTTTTCCCGCGCCCGTGCCCTGTCCTTGTAGCCCCCTCCCATCCTTTCCTGTCCCTTGCCTTCCCTTCCCGTGCCTTGCAGGTGCTGGAGAGAGAAAGGTTGCCCATCTTCGGCTGGCTTTGCGTTGCAGTGTTTTGTGTCGGATATCAGGTCGCACTTCTCTGCTGGCCTCTTCGGGCAGCTCGTAGTTCATGAAATATCTTCCTTCTAGGCTGTACGTTGTTTGTTTGTTCTTTGATTTGTTGAATTGTCAGGCTTCTTTCGTACATGCCTCACAGGTGTGCCATTGGATGTTGCCGCTGGGGACTTTCTTGTTGGACATCTGGGCTTCTGCTTGGCAAAGCGTGACCTCTGCGCCTTCCGTGCCAGGAGATCCGCGACTGTGAGTGCGGGGCAAAGCGTAGTCAAACGCAGCTGTGGTATTTGACGACAAAGGGTCACAAGCCTAAGGGCACAAAGTGCAAGGCCTGCGTGTCGAAGTGGCGCAAGCAGCACTGGAAGAGCCAAGGAGCGCGCTGAAAGCCTCACTCAGAGCTAAAAAGCGGCGTGCGAGCGAGCGTGCTGATGGACGGTGCTAGGGTCCGTTTTTTTCTGGAGCACATACCTAGCGGTGCCTTGTCCCGTTTTTTGCAAAGTGGTGTGATGTGTCCACATGCCATGTCTGGGGAAGTGGAAGGGCGCAAGTGGAGATGTGGCCTGTCGCCGAAACAAACCTGTCGATGACCGCGCCTATCGACAAAAGCGTGATATTTCCACATACAAGTGAATTTCGTTGTATTCGGGGGTTACATCATTACAATCAGGTGTTACACCAAATGGCTATAGGGAGCATCATGTGTCACGCTTCGAGGATTAAACGGGGAACGAGTATCACAACGGGGTCAAGGGTGAGAGGATGAGGGGGTGCGGGGGCGATGGTTTTGGTGGGGGGCCGGGGACGACGGTTTTGGTGGGGGGCCGGGGACGGTTTCGCAAAACCGCCACGTCCCTTTGAAAGCGTCAAAATACACAACCGCCAACCTAATATGGGTCACCCTCGGCTTCCCTCAAACCGCGATCCTGTAAGGGCGACAAACCACCACCCCCAACCCCCGGCTTCCTCAAAGGAATATACCCCTGTACTTCCCCAACCCCTGGCTACCAAGTAAGAAATTCCACCAGCAAAAAAAGAAATTCCCCCAGAAACTAACCTAGTCTGAGAGAAACCGCAGCACCCATTAACTTTGCCACCTTCCACAAGTTGTTTGGGGGCTGCCCTGCGGACGACGGTCCTGCCAAACCCTCACCCCCGGCGGTCTCAGGTTTTCAGAAAGTATAGGGCGATTCATACAACTAGCAAGTCGGTGATGCGCTGCAACATAGTTCGCGTTTTAAGGCCCGATGAACCGGCCGAGAGCAGACATTGACTTGTCACATCTTTTGAACTTGAAGCTGCAACAGACCGAAAATACCTCAGAGGGTCAGGGAGTAAAATAACTCCAAGAACTTGACTAAATGCAAATGTTGGGCGCAAGCCTTTTGTCTGCTATAGACCGCCCCCCCCCCCCTTGACGCTGAAGTGGCAGCAGTTCTATCGCTGCTAGGCCCATGACACCCGAACGGAATGTTATGGCACCTGAATGCAACGAAATAGCCTTATACCGTGTCTGTGGAAGTGGAAGGGTGCAGGTGGGGCTGCAAGTGGAAGTGTGGCCTGTCGCCGAAACAGCCCTTGCGATGACCGCGCTACACATTGGTGGAACAAAGTTGACGGTTATTTTCCACGTTTACATGCTTCCATATTTCCACACGTCCACGGTCGAAGCATAGAAGTGTGGAGACATGGAAGATTGGAAGCGTGGAAGTCTGGAGGTGTGTGGAGTGTGGAAGTGTGGAAGTGTATGAGTGTGGACGTGTGGACGTGTGGAAGCGTGGAAATGTATAAGTGTGTAAGTGTGTACGTGTGGAAGCGTGGAAGTGTGGAAATGTGGAAATCTGTAAATGTGGAGTGTTGGAGTGTCAAGTGTTGAAGTGTGGCAGTGTGGAAGTGTGGAATTGTGGAAATGTGGAAATGCAAAAATGTGAAAATGTGGAAGTGTGGAAGTGTGCAAGCGTGGAAGTGTGGAAGTATAGAAGTCTGGTCGCACGGTCATCGACAGGTCTGTTTCGGCGACAGGCCACTTCTCGCAGACATGGCAGGTGTCACGCTTTTGTCAAAGTGTGGAAGCGGGCCCGCGTTTTTGTTTTTTCTAGGTATGGCGCGGCCGCTTTGCAGCGTATTTTCTCTAGGTATGGCGCGGCCGTTTTGCTGCGTGGTGCTGGGGTTTTGGCTCTCAGTCGGTCGGTCCAACCCTAAACCAACCCTAACCCAACCCTAAGCCAGCCCTAAACCAACCCTAAACCAACCCTAAACCAACCTTAAACCAACCCTAAACCAGCCCTAAACCAACCCTAAACAAGCCCAAAACCAACCCTAAACTAAGCCACCTAAAACGAACCCTAAAACAACCTCAGCAAACCTGAGGCCGCCCTAAAACAACCCTAAACAAGTGTGGAATTGTGGAAGTATGGAAGCGTGGAAGAGGCGAAGCATGGATATGTGGAAGTGTGGAAATGTGAAGACGAAGGGGCGTGGCAGTGTGGAAGTGTGGAAGTGTGGAAGTGTGGAAGTGTGGAAGTGTGGAAGTGTGGAAAGTGGAAATGTGGAAGTGTGGAACTGACCCCAAAGAAAACCGGGAAAAGTCACCGCAAACACAAAAACCGGGACAAGGCACCGCTTGGGCATAGCACCCCCCCTTTGTCCCCTTCATGTTTGTCTAGGGAAGGATTCGGATTGGCGCACCCATTTTGAACAGCCCTGTGGAAGAACGACTCAGTTGATGGATCTGCGCTGGGAAAATTGTGGGTCCTGTCGACCTCTTGCTTTTGCTTCGGGAGGGCCATGATTCAACCAGAAAAATGCGGCGAAACCGGCTCCATTTGCCTGAGGGTTTCCTGCCGCTGGCTTGGGCCGTTTCCTTCCACACGGAGATTCGCGACCAGTGCCTTGGCAGAGATGAACAAAACAAACTCGGCAGCCGGGCGCCTCGAATCTAGGCTTGCGGGAGAATGCGGTTGCCCTTCTTTTTCCCCCTACAAGCACGCCCTCGCAAAGCTTTTGTCGAGGGAAGGCAACAAACGAAGCCTTTGAGCGCGGATGTCCAAAGTCATTGAAAGCCTCCGCACTTGCGGTCAATTACCCTTCTGTTGTTTGGGGTTATATAAGGTCTGGTTATCGATCTTTTTCAGGGCTTGACTCCTTTAAAGTGGAGGCGAAATAGGAGACTGCTCGAAGACCCTTTGATTCCCATGGATCGCACAGATGAATCGCCAAACATGAGGTTGAGTATTGAGTTTTTCTACGTCCCGAGTGGCAACCTTCGGTTTCGTATTGATTAAACCATGCCTCAACATCATGCATTGCGAAATCGAAGTTGGGAGAGCACAGCAGTTGGCATTGCTGCAACATCATCTCGAGGTCCCATAAATCGTCGTATTCCTTAAACCATGCAACAGGCGCTTCGCCATTTTTGCGCATGGAGGCCAACCCGAAAATTTCTTCGCATTGAGGGCCTTAATCATCTAGAATTAGAGGTCCCATTTAAGTCTTCGTATTGATGAAACCACCTCAACGGGCACTTGGCGCCTTATGCCTCCCGCGTAAAAGACATCGAGAAGCCGAGGCGAAATTCCACGTTGGCCCAGCGGCTGTTGCTCATCGCAAAGTTGCTGGTGGCCAATGGGGCGAAAGTGGAACTGCTGCCCCGGCGCAAGCAACACAGCCGGGGCCCCGGCGGTCGTTTTTTTTTTTTTGTTTCGTCGGGGTTTCTCGCGGAGGCTGGTGCGATGGGTAGGGAATGAGAAACGGAATGAACCCTGTGGTTTATAGGGGTCATTCGCTCATTTGGGTGTTTTCATTGTCTTGCTGGTGCGATGGGTAGGGGAGTCTTTCAAAGGAAGTCGCAAGGGATGGTTTGTAGGGGTCATTTGTCAGGAGGCGATTGGTGCGAAATCGGTAGGGAATGAGAAATGGAATGAACCCAGTCGTTGGTCCCCCCAAAAAGGACATTTCACCAGTTGGATGGTTTTTTCCAGGGTCATTCCATTTCTCATTCCCTGCCTAGAGCACCAGCAAGTTGTTTGCAACCGGGCGGAGACTTGATTGGGGAATCCATGATTCTAAAATCTAATGATTGAGATGTATCGACGTGTGTTTCTGAGTGTGTGTGTGTGTGTGTGTATTTCCTTTTTTTCCGGTTCCAAAGGCTCCTAGAGGAACCATGCTTGCGAATCCGAATTGAAGGTTTGACAAGTCTCTCCAATTAATTTAAGTCAGTCAGTGGATGCACTAGGCCATACTGTGGATGGACGACATCCTGCACCATCTAAGAAACCCTGGGTCCTGATTCGATTCAACGTAAATACCGGCAAACCTTCTGGTTTCAACTCCATGGTGTTCATCCGTGGTGCGCGACAGGCTCTGAACAAATTGAGTCTTGAGAGATCTGAGTGACCTAGGCTTCCGTGCCATGGTCGACGAAGGCCTCCGTTGCCAGCGGTTTCGCCAGGGAGAGAGGGTGACTTACCCACAAAATCAAAACCCAGGTAGACAAAAGGTTAGCAGCGGTTAGCAAGGGACCATCCCAACCATAAATAGCTGAGTCCATCTTAATGCTTTACGTGGTTCTGGGTATAGACCGTTTTAATACCCGGTTTTGATTAGGACTCATTTGGCCGGGTACAGAAAGGTGAAGCAGGCGTGTGCAAAACTCCCGAAGACGTCGCGTTCGGACCCTAACTATTTCCCCTTCGAGGGCATGATACCCCCATCAGCCTTCATCTGCGAAATCACTTCTCAGGGCACCAGCGACGGCTGCGGCGGAAGATCGAGGTCCCGCAGCCAAAGGAGTTCAAGGCGGTCGAATGTCTTAAAGCATGCGGCAAAGATTTGCAACATGCAGAGTCAGCCTGGCAGAACCAAGTCTGAAGCTCTTTCGCTGTTCACATGTAGATCTGCCCAGCTGCAAACATTTGTCGCCGAGTCTGCTTCAGCAGGAAGAAAGGCATTCCGAGCTCGCGGAGTGAGTCACTGCCAAATCCACCGGCAGGCAAAGCAGCTGAAACGCCCCGCCCCTCCGGAAGATGCGCCAAGGAAGCGTCGCAGTCTGAGAGAAATTCGGCAGTACTTGCAGCTGTCTTGAGATAATTTTCATGACGGAGCTGGAATGATAGCACATGTAACCAGCATAATGCACCCATATGCCTAGGTGATTTTTGCTCACGGTGCCGTCAGCAAATTTGCATGTGAATGAGTGATACAGATATTGTTAGCCAACTTCCTCTTAGTCCACTTGAATAAGATGTAAAGCATGTTTCGATTGGTTGCTTGAATTCGTGGCTCGATACAATATCAGTTTAGGTTCTTGATTGTATCAAATCTGTATGTACCGTTGGTTGGATTGAGGTGCCACTTGAGGTGCACAAATCACCCGCTGAAATTGTGTCAAGACATGCATATAGCCAAAGATGAACCCAACATCTACATAACACATCTTAGTTCCTAGCCTTAGGAGTTCGGGAGAGAAATATCGCAATGAGTTTGTTTCACTCCATACTGTTTGACTGCACATGACTGATATTTTGAAGCTACTGAGGATTGTCGAAATCCATTTCGCGCCACTTGGAAACCATGGTTGAAACCATTCTTGGTGGGTATTTTCATCATGCCAGGGTTTCTTAGGCGTGCAGGCTTTCGTCCATCCACAGTATGGGAGGGCTGGTGCCGAAGAGCAGCACGAGCAAAGCATCTTCTGTGTCTCAACCAATTTGCCCCAAGCTCGCAGCAGAAGAGCACCGGGTTTTCCTTTTCTTTTTTTTGACGCCAGTTGCTGCCTAGAGGAATTCGTTTTCGAACAGCATGTGGCGCGGATTGTTCCCCTCAGCCGTGTGGAAGAAGAAGCCAGTTGCTGCCTCGCCTCTAAAACGAGCTCTTGGCCAAGACAGCGCCTGGACATCTGGACATCCCTAGAGCACTGCTTTGGTGGACGGTGGAGATACATTCCTTGCAATAGACGTCTACAACATTGCATATATACATATAGTCATGTTATATATATGCATATATCTATATATATATACACGTTAATATATATATATATATATACACGTTACATATTATTTGTTATCTAAATACCTGTATGTATATTCTACATATGCGTGTGCGCATGTTTAAGCTGGAGGCAGATCTAGGAAAGCTGTCATTCCTGGTACTTCTCACCTGCTCGTCTGGGGGTCGCCCGGCACCCGGACGCCAGGGCCATGCTTAATGGATGTAGATAGCCAGCTTGTCCGCTGAGTTGAGAGCTGCGGTTGGCAAACACATCGGGGGGGCTGCCCCGTGTAGGAGGGAAGGCCGAAAACCTTAGACTCGCAGGGATCAAGGCTTTGCTTCATTGCCTGTGGTATGTAGTCACTTAGTGGCTGTGTGGTATCGGATCTTTGGACTTGAACTGTTTGATTGAAGCTCGTTTTTTTTTTCCCCCCGTATTGGAAGCAGTGATTCACTTTTTGGGGTCAACAGCAATCAAGATAAGAACCATGTCTCTATGCGTCATGTGCTTGAAACATGTTCGAACCATCACAGATAGTGCGCTCTGTGAGTGAGATACCAGTTGCTGGCTCGCAGCACCGCACAAGCACATGACACGCGGGCAGACCAGTTGCAAAGCTTGCAAGCGAGAGATGCAGATCGCCAAAACACGCATATCAGGACATCCCAAAGTGAGCTATGGCCAAGACTTGTTGCGTTCGTCGAAACATGCAGACGGATGTGCGCATCGCAGCAGCCTGGCTTGAAAAGCGTGCAGATAATCATCATCAATGTTGCAGCCATAGGTGTCCTTTTTGGTTGTTTTGCTTACAAAATAGAAGGCCCCCTGGATTTTTTACCTGGTGGTTTAATCATCTACCAGGGCCATCTATTTTCCAAAACGGACACCTGGCGGTTGCAGCTGTGCAATTGCAAGGCTTAGGAGTTGGAGATGGTGTCGGTGTGGTACGATGTGAGGCCGATACGCTTTTGGTGCTGCTGGGCAGAGCAGGGCTGCCTTAATCTCCCGCATGGTGTCTGGCAGGCCACGCGTGTCCCCAGCTTTCTGACTTGTTGTTGGCATGTTGTTTGGCTTTTTGTGGTTTTGGGGGTTCTGACGGGCTGCAAAATCAAGGTATTTTGCTGCCATAGTTGCCATACCAAGGGTTGGCAAGACGAGTCTGGGGTTTCATTCGCCTTTCGAGCCGTGTCGCTCCAGGCTCTTTGGGGACACACGTCTGGCTGAGTCGCCGGGTTTCTTCGATCCTAGCTTAGTGGCTTGGCAGTGAGTTGCCTCGTTGGAGTGAGCGACCAAGACTCTAGGGGTAGCTCCCCCCTTTCCCTGGACATAGTTGCCATTTCTTTCTTTGCAGGGGGCGAAGAAGCAAATGGAAGAGTTGACCTCCGGCAGTTTGGGACCTTCGGACTTTCACTTTTTGGGAAACGTCTAACCTCCCGTGTCCATTCTTTCCAGGGATCCGAAATCGTTCTAGAAAGCCTCCAGCACCAATCTTTCTTAGGGGGAAAACGGATCCGGTGTTCGAAAAGAAGGATGGTCGAAAAGAATGGGGAAGTTGCCCCTAGAAACACACGCGAGTCACAATCAAAACCCGGGTACTCGTAAGTGAAGGTTAGTAAGGGACAATCCCAGCCATAAATAGCTGAGGAGATCCGCCTGTTTAGTTCTTTACATGGTTCTGGGTCGACCATTGTTGTTCGGGCTTTGATTGTGACTCACGTCGAGTTTTGGGACAGGGATTGCTAGACCCCCCATGAAAAAAAACTAGAATTACCTACTTCAATGGCACATCTCCCTTTTCCCCAACAGCTGAAAGCCAAGGGGACCTGAAGCCCATTTTAGGGGGTTCGGTTCGGGGCTGTTCTTGATACTACCTGGGCAAACAATAAAGGGGCTACGCATGTCAAGCTGATGCGAACCGGTGGGAAGCGACAAGAGAGTGGCTAGGAGCTGGACAAGGTTCGCCAAGCAGCACGGGCCTGACATACAGCAGCGCACGATGAAAAGAAAGGGTGCCATGTGACTCATAAACTTATTCGACAACGAACGCGCATTTCTAACATTCACTATGAACCACATCAAGTAAAGGCCTCGCTACACAACAAGCTCTCGCTCGCCCAACTTACGCTCACTAACTTACTCAACTTGCACATACTTTTCTAAACACGCATGTCTAACTCACTAGCATGAAACACTCACTACGCAACACGTCGAGCAAGGGCCCCGCGTTACAAGCGTTTGGGCATGTGGGGTTCTCCGGTTCTTTATTCGCTTTTTCGACAATTATATTGTATATTCGAGGCCCGGACACGTGTTTGTGAGAGACAAATCGGTTTTCGTGTCTCTGCAGTCAACATGCGCACCCTGGGCTGGGATTCGGAGTGAATTTTGCTTCGGGCATGCGTTGCCAGGGGAAGGGAACAATGGGGGAAACACGCACAGCTTCCAGGTCCTTTGCCGTCATCACGGCGCGCAAGCGCGCTCTTGGGAGGCGAGCTCTTGAACATATGTCCTGGACCTTTCGAGATCGCTGAAACGTTTTCTCCGGAAGCTATTTGCAAGCAAGAAAAAAGTATCTGAGCCCTGTCAGAATGCAAGGAGCGCTGCTGCCAGCCCTCGCTGCGCATCCCTGCAAAAGCTCTATGATTGCTCAACACAGGGCCGTGTTTGTCGAAACATTTTGACAGGTTTGAATAGCTGCCACAAGTCAACGGCAGAAGTCGAAAAAGGCAGAGCAAGGAAAATGGCCGGCGTAGATTGCAGAAACCTTGGCATTCGCCACCGGCAGTGCGTCAAGTGCTGTGCCCTTCGAGAGCTTTCCGAAACAGTGCAATACAGCCACTGCGACCTGCGCAACCCATGCCTGGGTGCGCAATCCTGTCACTGGAGCCGCGAGTCGGTACAAGAGCTCTGTTTTCGCTGCGCACCATCGCACGGATCGCTCAGCGCAGAACCGCGTTGGCCTCAAAAACAGCTGCTGCTGCAAGCCATCGACTGATATCCGAAAAACAAAGCAAGGAACATTATTGGCATAGATGGCAGCAACCACTCACAACCAGTGTGTCTGTGCAGGTGCTCCATTGAGGAGGGCGTCAAGGGCGCGAACTTTCCTTAGGCCGTTTCAAGTACTTTGTACGAATTCCGACCTCCGGGAGTCGTGTTTGGGATCGCAACCGTGGCACTGGAGCCACCTCTCCCAGAGAGAATCGTGGGCTTGCTTTCCACGTCATCCTCTTGCTTGAGACAAAACCATTGGCTCGTCTGCTGTGTCTCAAAGCCTTTGATAGCTGCTGCAAACAACACCTGAAATTCATAGCGACAAGGAAAACGTTTGGCGTAGCTGGCAGAAGCCATGCCGACTGCGAGCGGTGTGCGCAAGAGCTGGTTCCTTCAAGAGGGTGTTAGGCAGGGCACTAACTTTCCTGAAGAGGGCGGCGCAATTACTTTGCATCAGCTACGACCTGTGCGAATTGCACCGCGGTATTGTGTGGGCGCGCTGCTGTGTCGCGAGCACGTTGCCCTTTGGGGTGTTTTGTTTGCCCTGTGCATTCGAGCCCCATGAGTTCCTCCACTGTTTTGCGTGAGTTTTTCCGCCAACATGCATATGTTGAGCAACGTTGAAGCAAGGCAAGGCCGCCTTCGGCGTGCTTCGCTTCAGAGAATGCCGCGCAGTTGAAGTCAGCCGCTTTAAAGCAGAACTCTTCGGCTTGACAAGTTTGCGCCGATGAGTTCAGCATGGCCTTGAGGGAAAGGTTTTCAGCCTCAGGTCCAGCGAGAATTTTCAAGTCTCGCGTTGTGAGACACAGGGCGGAAGGGCGGAAGGGCCATTGCTTTCACGCACAGGTCAGATCACAGCGTTTGCAACAGATTGTGACCAGAGCAGGGACAGAAACAGCTGTCAAGCAAACAAGTAAAGGGCCTTTGCTGAGGAAACCCTTCCCTCAGCAAGGTTGAGCAATTAGCTCAGGCATTCCGATTGAAGGAACCAATGACCATGGCTTGCAGAAGGAGTTTTGATGTGCTGAATGCGTTTGGCGTAGTGTTTGTCCATATATTCCGGAGGGGTTGGCGAGCTATCCTGATATTCAGTTTCGTGCGCCTCCGCTCCTCTTTGTTTTAGCAGTCGAGTGCGAGAGGGAC